CCAGGCCCAGTTCAGATAATTGTCAATGGTGTTGGCCGTGAGCTGGAATCGAACTGGGATCACCGGGTTAATTGGGCAGTGAGCTAACCGCTACACTACCGCTTCCCACGGGAGATATCACAAACACGCTTCCCATAGGCACGCTGCGCTGCATCGCGTACAACAAGTTCCATGACACAAAGGTTTCGGAAAGCTCTCCGATGTTTTTTTAAAATCTAACCACGTGTTGTTCGGCACGATGTCCGACGTTTCCGAGCCACTTTCAATTCAGTTAAACACGTAGGCTTTCGCGACCAATATTATCTATGAGAGGTTTTTTGGGTTGGATCACGTAAATATACACGTGTCATTAAACCCGCCACCACCTGACACAGCCAATTATGTTTGTCACGACTTAAAGCTTTCGTGACTACAGGAATACATATTCTCTGGGTCTTTCGGTAAAGCCACGTAGATAGAAAAATAATTTTTAAAAACGTCGTGATATTTTTATTGATTTTCTATCTACGTGGCTTTACGGAAAGACCCATAGAATATGTTTGTCACGCAAACAAAACATTCCAATTCGTTACTCGTACAGCACACCAGTGTGCGTAGAAGAGCGTATTAACCCATTAACCCATACATTAACCCCCTTTGGCCTTCGCACCAGAGTGGCTCACAAGTGACGACATCACATTTATCCCTCTAAGACCAATACGGGGGATTTCTTCGCAACTCTGGGTGGCGATTGATAATCTTAGTTGTAATTACTGGCGAAACGTCGTACTCGAATTGTAAATGTTGTGGGTTTACTCTCCAACACACAACCGGTGTTTTGTTTACGTGACATACCGTACTAATTGGCTGTGTCAGGTGGTAGCGGGTTTAGCGACACATATATATTTACACAATCTAACCCAAGAAAAACCTCTTATGGACACTTTCATATCGTTTATAACAAACTTCACCGCTGCATTGGGTGAAATTAGCAGGGCCCCAGGCCTACTCATTGAAAGGCAGTCAAACCCCGGGGACAGGTGACACACTGGAATTCCGCTACAGTCATAATGCAGGGCCTGAATCCAGCCCCAGTTAGGACCGTCTGACCGGACCGTGATCCATCAGTCGCACACACATCATCATTTGCGTGTCAATTTGATGAACATGCGGGAAGAGTGAAGAGTGGCTCTGCACGTTGCGGGGTCTCTCTGTGTGTGAGCCGCTAGACCAGGGGCCGGCAATCAAAATAACTACACGAAGAGGCATTTCTTTCAAATTCAGTAAAAAAAAACTCAATACTTCAAGAGACGCAGTGCACGCGGTGAATACCAATCCGTCGTTTTTATAAATAAACGACGGTCACGAAGCGGTCCTTAAAGAGCCGCACGTGGCTCCTGAGCCGCAGGTTTCCGACCCCTGCGCTAGACCCACCTCCAAACGAACGCATCGTGTGATGGGTAATGGCCAATAAGGGCTCTGCTGGTCATCATGAGATGGGTCTACAATTCTCGCGTAGATACACGTGTCTCGCTCAACCGATGGCATTGAGGCCCTCGCCAATGAATTCGAGCCTTTCCTAAAAGTTTTACGTTCAACAGCAGCAAGCCGAACCTTGTGCCGAGATGACGCTGTTGTCTGCGTGCCTGTTATGGAGTTGCCGTGGTGACCGTGGTCCTGGTGTTGTCTCCAAAGTCGCCGCCCGTGTCCAGCTCCTGCAGAATCCACTGATGTGGCTTCCCCCGCAACTTCTCTGCACTTCATTCGCGGCTTTGTAGGGTTTTATTTTTGTTGCTTCGGGGAGCAAAACCTCTGGGTGGTAATCATCATAACAACACCGATGTCATTTACCTATCCAGGAAAAACCTCACTTAGCCGCAAGGCTTTGCGGGGCCTTCAGCAGTGGGATGTTTGGCCCGTTCCTTCGAGAGTATTTTTTTGAGAAGTGTATGAACTCGCAGGTACCTGGGGGAAAAAAGCATCCAGGAAATCCTGGAGTTAGCACTCAAATTATTTGCATGGTTGGCGACGTACGGTGCGGAAGAAGTTCGACATACATCACGCAAATGTTCACGTAAATGGGTTCACGAACCCGCTTCTGGCCTCGGCTTCGCGAACGTTCGTGCCGGCAGGATAACAAGTCAGCCCCTGTGGTGCCGTGAGTACCGGGTGCATGAACTCGGATTTCCGTGCTGTATTTACGACGGAACAGCAGGTAATTAATTAAAGACACCCTGACGACTGACGGTGAAACGTGGACACAACAAAGACAAACCGCCGCAAGCCGCAATAGCCCCAGCAAAACAATATTTTGGCGCATGTTTAACGCACGCGGCGCGGTGTTTACGCTCGACACGGCCGCGCATAAACACGCGACGGTCGAGCGGCGAGCACGGAGGGAGACAAATGCGAGCGGACCGCGCGCGACGGAATGAGCGAGGTAAAAGGCGATGATGCGCCCGTAAACACCGCTGGCAGCGGGCGTCCGTGGTGCGTGCGAGGGCACTCGCGCGTCTCAGCCGTCACTGCTCGCCCTATACGGAGCTCTCTCTCTCTCTCCCACTCTCACTCGCTGTTGACACCGTGGTGCACGGGCGCAGAGTGCACCGCAGGTGATCCACACAAGGGTCATTTAAATTTTTTGTTTACCAGATAAGGGTCACTGGGCTATGTCGCGATGTTTCAGAAGTGACCTGGCCACAAATGATAGCGCAACAAAGTGGCTTATCGCGTGGATATTTAAGGCAGCCAAATGCTCTGAACGCGTGTTGATTCTAAACGTAGAGGGAAGAAACGGGAGGACCCGGAGAACAATCCACGCAACCAAGGGGAGGGAGAAATGCAAACTCGAAATATACAGGCATCAGAGTCGGGATCGAACCCACAACCTCCTGGATACCAGGCGAGGTGATCAACATCTCGCCGCTGCTACATATCCCCCCCCCAATATTCAAATATGGTCAAAATGTCCCCCCCAAATATTGCTATAAAATAGATTTCTGTTTATATGATTGTGGTTATGGTTGTACTTTATTAATCGCTAATCTCTGCCATTACATACAATGAAACAAGAAAAGGTAAAAAAGAAAAAAAACAGAGCAATGTAATACAATACACGATTAGACAGCATTGTAAAAAATAAATAAAAAGTCCATCCTGTGTGTTAGTGATTTTTAAAATATTTTAAGCAGGAAATTCGTTTGCAAATTTAGATTTTTTTTTCTGGGGGGGGACCCCCAGACCCCCTGGAAGATTTGGTCCTCCCCAATGTTGACTCCATGGCTACGGCCTTGAGCAAAGTTATGTAGAGCGGGAGGGCGTAATCGGGGTATTACTATAAGAATGTCAACTGGTCACGTGCCGCACAATATTGACTCGCTCACGTCGAGAGAGAACGACTCAGAGCCGCGAGGAGGAACCGCAGGCACGTGGGTTGCCCAAGCTCTGCGGTCCATATTGAGGTGCTGGCAGCCAATTAACGGGTGGATCGCCCTGAGAATACCCACGCGTGCGAGGGAGAAACACTCTATCCCGTACAGCAGCAGCATGTGGAGCCCACAGTTTTATTGCATTGTCTTGGCGAGACGTGGCATAGCACCTCAACTCCCGCAGAAGAGAGTTTCGCGGCATCTGTGCGGTGATCCACCAACCCTCGCTACTGCCTCCACAGCGCCAGATCACTACAGGCAGCCACTGCCGCCGCCCAGATAGCGCTGGGTCTGATCATCACTCCCTCGTGCTCCGGTTATTATCTTCTCAATCTTTGCTCTGTCTCTCTCTCTCTCCATTCCTCTTCTCCTTGTGCTCGATCCACGCTTTCGCTCTCTCTTCTTGCACCCCCCCCCCCCCTTCAGTGGAACAAACTTCCCCCTCCACATGAAGCAGTCACCTTCGCTCACAAAGTTTCCACCCCTCACTCAAAACGCATTCTTATTGTTCACTAGCTCACCCCCACTACCCCCCCCGCCCCCTTTAATCTCCGCCTCTCATAACCACCACCACCACCATATTCTCATTACACGGCTGTCACTCATTAACCCCGTTCATTCAATCCGTCCATCATCATTCACTGTCATCAACGTCGCTGTCACCGATGTCACGCATCATCGCAGATTCGCCCACGTTGCTACCTCCGTCTATTTCATTCACCTCGTCTCCACCACCCCCATCATCATCACAGCCATACCGTTGTACCGTTGTTTAGTCTCTGTAAAGTGCCTTGGTTAAGGCGCTTTATAAATTCCGTTAAGATAATGTACGATAAAAAGGTTTCAAGTTCATTTACAAAACTGACAGAAATCAACACATCTCCTCCTCGTTTCCCACGGTGGCACGGGCCACTGTGGGACTAACTAAGGGGTGCCTATATTTCCCAATAAGAAAAAAGAAACATCCTCATATCATGGATAGACATCCTCTCAAGAGCAGGGGGGTGGGCAACCATCGTATTGAGAATACAATGCCTTATTGTACATGACAGGCGTCTAATTGTGTCCCAGTGCGTCGCGACAGCAGCTTCCATCTGTTTGCTTATGTAAGGGTCAGTTGACACCCTGGATACCGTTGCAAACAAGGTGTCACATCTCAAAGTAAAATGATGAGCCACTTTGTTGTTGGGCTGTCATTTGTGGCCAGGTCGCTTCTGAAAAATAAGTTCATACCTCAGTGGGCTTTGCCTGGTAGGATGGCGATTGTTTAGTGTTGTGTTTGTTTGTGTTTGGGTGATGTGTTTAACTTTCTTGTACTTTGCACTACTCTCGTGTTGTTGTACTGTTTGTTGTTGTAACGTTTCTTAACCCATGCCCCGACTGTACATCTGTGATGAAGAGCTTTATAGCTCATCGTATTCCTCCTGCTGTATAAATACAGATTCTGTTTCTGATATTCTGATTCAGATCTAAAGCTCCGTAAACTGTGGCGAAGTAGGAAGCGTGGCGCTCCGTGTTGAGACATTAGCGGCAGGCGCCTTAAGAATCAATGTAAATTATCTATTATTATTATTATTATGTTGCCTTCTACAGATACCCGAACGTGCGCGTCCACAACTTCACCACGAGCTGGAGAGACGGCCTCGCGTTCAACGCCCTGATTCACAAGCACAGGTAACCGCTGATTCACAAGCAGAGGTAACCGCTGATTCACAAGCACAGGTAACTGCTAATTCACAAGCACAGGTAACCGCTGATTCACAAGCACAGGTAACCGCTGATTCACAAGCACAGGTAGCCGCTGATTCACAAGCACAGCTAACCGCTGATTCACAAGTACAGGTAACCGCTAATTCACAAGCACAGGTAACCGCTAATTCACAAGCACAGGTAACCGCTGATTCACAAGCACAGGTAACCACTGATTCACAAACATAGGTCACCGCTGATTCACAAGTACAGGTAACCGCTAATCCACAAGCACAGGTAACCGCTGATTCACAAGCATAGCTCACCGCTGTTTCACAAGTACAGGTTACCGCTAATTCACAAGCACAGGTAACCGCTGATTCACAAGCATAGCTCACCGCTGTTTCACAAGTACAGGTAACCGCTAATTCACAAGCACAGGTAACCGCTGATTCACAAGCACAGGTAACCGCTGATTCACAAGCACAGGTATTTGCTAATTCACAAGCACAGCTAACCGCTGATTCACAAACATAGGTCACCGCTGTTTCACAAGTACAGGCAACCGCTGATTCCAAGCACAGGTAACCGCTGATTCACAAGCACAGGTAACCGCTAATTCACAAGCACAGCTAACCGCTGATTCACAAGCACAGGTAACCGCTGATTCACAAGCACAGGTAACCGCTAATTCACAAGCACAGGTAACCGCTAATTCACAAGTACAGGTATCCGCTAATTCACAAACACAGGTAACTGCTGATTCACAAGTACAGGTAACCGCTAATTCACAAGCACAGGTAACCCCTGATTCACAAGTACAGGTATCCGTTGATTCACAAGTACAGGTAACCGCCAATTCAGAAGTACAGGTATCCGCTAATTCACAAGCACAGGTAACCACTGATTCACAAGAACAGCTAACCGCTGATTCACAAGTACAGGTATCTCTTGATTCACAAGTACAGGTAACCGCCAATTCACAAGCACAGGTAACCGCGAATTCACAAGCACATGTAACCGCTGATTCACAAGCACAGGTAACCGCTGATTCACAAGTACAGCTAACCGCTGATTCACAAGTACCGGTAACCGCTGATTCACAAGTACAGGTAACCGCTGATTCACAAGCACAGGTAACCGCTGATTCACAAGCACAGGTAACCGCTAATTCACAAGCACAGGTAACCGCTGTTTCACAAGTACAGGTAACCGCTGATTCACAAACACAGGTAACCGCTGATTCACAAGCACAGGTAACCGCTAATTCACAAGCACAGCTAAACGCTGACTCACAAACACAGGTAACCGCTGATTCACAAGCACAGGTAACCGCTAATTCACAAGCACAGGTAACCGCTGATTCACAAACACAGGTAACCGCTGATTCACAAGCACAGGTATCCACTAATTCACATGCACAGGTAACCGCTGATTCACAAACACAGGTATCCACTAATTCATATGCACAGGTAACCGCTGATTCACAAACACAGGTAACCGCTAATTCACAAACACAGGTAACCGCTGATTCACAAGCACAGGTATCCACTAATTCACATGCACAGGTAACCGCTGATTCACAAACACAGGTAACCGCTAATTCACAAGCACAGGTAACCGCTGATTCACAAACACAGGTGACCACTGATTCACAAACACAGGTAACCGCTGATTCACAAACACAGGTAACCGCTGATTCACAAACACAGGTGACCACTGATTCACAAACACAGGTAACCGCTAATTCACAAACACAGGTAACCGCTGATTCACAAACACAGGTGACCACTGATTCACAAACACAGGTAACCGCTGATTCACAAGCACAGGTAACCGCTGATTCACAAGCACAGGTAACCGCTGATTCACAAACACAGGTAACCACTGATTCACAAACACAGGTAACCGCTGATTCACAAGCACAGGTAACCGCTGATTCACAAACACACGTAACCGCTGATTCACAAACACAGGTAACCACTGATTCACAAACACAGGTAACCGCTGATTCACAAGCACAGGTAACCGCTGATTCACAAGCACAGGTAACCGCTGATTCACAAGCATAGGTCACCGCTGTTTCACAAGTACAGGTAACCGCTGATTCACAAGCACAGTTAACCGCTAATTCACAAGCACAGGTAACCCCTGATTCACAAGTACAGGTATCCGTTGATTCACAAGCACAGGAAACCGCTGATTCACAAGCACAGGTAACCGCTAATTCACAAGCACAGGTAACCCCTGATTCACAAGTACAGGTATCCGTTGATTCACAAGTACAGGTAACCGCCAATTCATAAGTACAGGTATCCGCTAATTCACAAGCACAGGTAACCACTGACTCACAAGAACAGCTAACTGCTGATTCACAAGTACAGGTATCTGTTGATTCACAAGTACAGGTAACCGCTAATTCACAAGCACAGGTAACCGCCAATTCACAAGCACAGGTAACCGCGAATTCACAAGCACATGTAAACGCTGATTCACAAGCACAGGTAACCGCCAATTCACAAGCACAGGTAACCGCTGATTCACAAGCACAGGTAACCGCTAATTCACAAGCACAGGTAACCGCTGATTCACAAGTACAGGTAACCGCTGATTCACAAACACAGGTAACCGCTGATTCACAAACACAGGTAACCGCTGATTCACAAGCACAGGTAACCGCTAATTCACAAGCACAGGTAACCGCTAATTCACAAACACAGGTAACCGCTGATTCACAAACACAGGTAACCGCTGATTCACAAGCACAGGTAACCGCTAATTCACAAGCACAGGTAACCGCTGATTCACAAACACAGGTGACCACTGATTCACAAACACAGGTAACCGCTGATTCACAAACACAGGTAACCGCTGATTCACAAACACAGGTGACCACTGATTCACAAACACAGGTAACCGCTAATTCACAAACACAGGTAACCGCTGATTCACAAACACAGGTGACCACTGATTCACAAACACAGGTAACCGCTGATTCACAAACACAGGTAACCGCTAATTCAGAAGTACAGGTATCCGTTGATTCACAAGTACAGGTAACCGCCAATTCAGAAGTACAGGTAACCGCTGATTCACAAGTACAGGTAACCACCAATTCAGAAGTACAGGTAACCGCTGATTCACAAGTACAGGTAACCACCAATTCAGAAGTACAGGTATCCGTTGATTCACCAGTACAGGTAACCGCCAATTCAGAAGTACAGGTATCCGTTGATTCACCAGTACAGGTAACCGCCAATTCAGAAGTACAGGTATCCGTTGATTCACCAGTACAGGTAACCGCCAATTCAGAAGTACAGGTATCCGTTGATTCACAAGTACAGGTAACCAACAATTCAGAAGTACAGGTAACCACCAATTCAGAAGTACAGGTATCCGTTGATTCACTAGTACAGGTAACCACCAATTCAGAAGTACAGGTATCCATTGATTCACCAGTACAGGTAACCGCCAATTCAGAAGTACAGGTATCCGTTGATTCACTAGTACAGGTAACCACCAATTCAGAAGTACAGGTATCCATTGATTCACCAGTACAGGTAACCGCCAATTCAGAAGTACAGGTATTGCGACGATGTGGCCCGAGTCTCGCAACGGGCGACGAGGTCCCCCGCACTTTCTCTCTCTCTCTCGTCCTGATGACGATGACCCATCGCGCGTTCAAACAACCGCAGGCACGGCTGCCCTCGCGACGGTCCCCCGGTGACGGTGACCTCTGACCGCAAGGTCCGCGCGTTGCTGGCGGGGCACCTTGTATGGCGAGCGCTTGGGACTGGTGGGAACAGCAGCAGTCGTGGCTTCCCAGCAGCGGAGTTGGCACGACGTGAACGGGCGACGTTACGTCGGGAGGAACTATTTTAACGCGCAAATCATCAATCAGCGGCGGCCGGGCAGGCGGGCTGGCTCTTTACGGAGATATTGGAGGTGGCTTGGGGCTGCCCGGCAGAGGAGTCCATGTATGGCGTTTTGAATGAAACAAATCGAAACTCCAACACATTGGCAGGCTTCAAGCCGCTGTGTTGTGTTGGTTTACTGGTCTGTATGTTGTTTACGCGTGTTGAACTTCTTTGGCACCGTACATAGCCAAACGTGCAAATCGGAGGTGCCGGGAAAATGAATGAGATTTCATTCTGATGCTGCTTGCGCCTTGCGTCTGTATATCTTTATTGAAATAATATATAGGTATGGAAATCGTGGCAAAATATGAATGCAGTAACATATATATCATAAATAATATTGCCCGCTATTATTTTGTCATCGCATTGCATCGTCTTCGTATCTCGCGTACATTTCAACCGTGAAGCGTCGTTTGCTCGGCGCGTGTCTCTCCGATCCCGAGATTCAGGCCTTGGGGAGTTTTTGTGTTCTAATACGGAACGCATCCAACGTGGAGCAAAGCCGCTATCGGTGGTGACGGTGGCGACCAATGTCCTCGCTTCATACAGGCCGGACCTCATCGACTTTGATGCCCTGGACCCAGCGGACCCCTACGGCAACATGCAGACGGCCTTCAACGTGGCCGAGCAGAAGCTGGGGCTGACGCAGCTACTGGACGCAGAGGGTGGGCACTCCCCCTGCCCCATCGCACACCCCCCTACCCCGTCCCACACCCCCTACCCTGTCCCACACCCCCTGCCCTGTCCCACACCCCCTGCCCTGTCCCACACCCCCTGCCCTGTCCCACACCCCCTGCCCTGTCCCACACCCCCTGCCCTGCTGGCCACCCACCCCTTTCCAGTGCCGTGCCGGCCTTCGTAGGTGCTGCTCGCTGAACAGCATTTGCCCCAACAGTCTGTTCATGCTACACAGGTGGGTGAGGGTGGGTCTCAGTATCTTTGTATCCCTGCTGTGCGTTCCGTGCCGTCTCTCTGCGCGTGGCGCGCAGACATTGCGGTAGAGCACCCGGACGAGAAGTCGGTCATCACCTACGTGGTCACCTACTACCACTACTTCTCCAAGATGAAGGCGCTGGCCGTGGAGGGGAAGCGCATTGGGAAGGTGTGCCCCGCTCTGCTCTGCGCGTGACCGACGGTGCCAACCCGTGCAGCCCGACTCGGCGGGAACAGCGGGCAGCAGCGCGTGTCTGTAAATTCAGCTTCTCTCTGCAGAGACAAAGGAGTCTGTTTAGCGTAATGCTTTTGTTGTTGTTGTTGTTGTTATGAGTGAAGGTTTTTGTCTCTTGCCCAAATACCATTGCTTGTGGTGTAACTACCCATAGGCCTATTGACACACTCGTCATCAGACGTTTTTTTTAAAATGCCATTTTCATCGGACCCCACCCATGCTTTAAAGAGTGCAGTCCCCAACTCGTATGATCCACTCCATCGCTCTGGCCTGCGTGCTATGAAGCAGGGCCATTGCCCGAACTGTCGTCTATTCTATATCGTTTATTTTTGAAGCCACTCGGCGTTAATGACGAATGTGCTGAGCTTTATTGTTTTCTTCATTAAGTCGAGCTTGGGTGCAGATCGAGCGGAAATGATAGCCGCTCTCCTGGGTTGGTTGATCACGCTCCGTGCACTGAGACTCACTCGGACTACTCCCTGATGCACCTCAAAAAACATTGCTCCGTTACCAAGCGTGCGCATCGGCACCCTGGTGTGCGTGTGTCCGGCACGTGCACACGCTCGCTACGCTGCGGTACTGTTTTTTTTGGGGTTGCATGGGGATTGCATGGGATTGCATGCGATTGCGTGCGATTGCATGTGATTGCATGGGATTGCATGCAATTGCATGGGATTGCACGGGATTGCGCGAGCAGCAAACCTTCAAGCGTTACATCAGGCCAATTGCAGGGGGAAAAATTGAGAAGGTGCTGATGCGCGTGAGCAATCTATGTGTCAACGTGGATTCATTGCAGGCACTAGGTGACTTGTTGAATCACAAGACCACGAGGGGTGGTGGCAGTGGATATGTCATGGCTGATGATAATGATTTAAAAAAAATCCTATTGTATACACTATTTTGGAACAAAAAATACTTCAATCAAATGCACGTGAATTATGGTAAATGCATATGCAGCAGGGCGGAATAAACACGACGATTACCGACAAATTGTTTTGCACTCGAAACACGGCACTATATTGTACACAACGAACCTTAACGTCCACGTACACTTGCCATATCACGGCTGTGTTCAAGTATTCGATATACGATTTCTATGATGATCCAATGAACGTCTGGCACGAAGAAGACACAGCGGATGCATTGAGGAGCTGAGATAATAAACAGTTCCACTCTGCGCACCGCCGAGAGTGAGAATGCAGCATCAGGGGGCCGGCGCCATTCGTCAACCAGCGGAAACCCATCGCAGTTTAAAAAAAAAACATAAAATGTGAAATGTCCCAGGACACGAGGATTTTCTACCGCTGGTTGCAGGGAAAACACGCGGTTCTAATGATAGCGTAGGCCATCCAAAGTATACATCGATATCAGGCTATTCTTATCACAATCTTTCAAAGACATTTGCCCAGAAAATTGTAACATCACCCAATGACTGTTATCTCTTTTAAACAGGCTTTTTCCTAAAGTTCGACGCAAACTCCGCTTTTGTATGTTTATGACGGCCCGTCGTACGTCTACGAATAACTTCATGCAGTTAAACAACTTCGAATGCTTTTCCACGTGACCGTCGTACAGTTAGATCGCCAGATATGCAAGAAAAATAACTAGATAAATATTTTAATATACTTGTCAATGTTACATACAATGCGACGCCAGCCGCACGTAGCCACAGAGCCATGCGGCAGCCTCATTCTCCCCCTCCTGCAGCACGTGCAGGGCAATAACCGCCCGTGGCACGCCCTGAAGCAACTCCGCGGCCCGAGACGATGGTGCGCCACAGCCTCACTGCTCCTCGTAGAGATGTTACTCGTCTTGGGCAGGGGGAGCATCACGTTGCGCGACGGCTCCTCTCTGGCGTAACGGCGGCGTTTTTTGTTGTTGTTTGTTACACTTTCCAGGTGCTCGAGAGCGCCATGGAGACCGACCAGATGATCGAGAAGTACGACAGCCTGGCCTCGGATCTCCTCGACTGGATCGAGCAGACCATCGCCATCCTCAACAACCGCACCTTCGCCAACTCGCTGACGGGCGTGCAGCAGCAGCTGCAAGCGTTCAGCTCCTACCGCACCGTGGAGAAGCCGGCCAAGTACGGCAGCAGCATTGGCAGCGGCACTCACACGGCAGCACGCGGGCGCGCTCGCACACACACACACACACGTGATACTGTAATGACCACGGCGCTATCCGATTAGCACGATTGGCTACGTCGAGGGCTGCCACCCGTCTGGGTTTGAATCCAGGAGACCTCTGGAACCTGTGGGTGGCCCTGGGTGAAATGTTTAGCTCTTGAAAGCTAGCGGCATGACTTATCTTGTTGAGATTTCTTTTGAAAGGATGAACTTTGAATTATAATGACCGTAAATTACGCAGACCACAAATGATAGCTCAACGAAGTGGCTTGTCACGTGGAGATTTATTAGCAGCCAAATACTATAAACGCGTGTTGATTTTAAATGTGGTGGGAAAAACTGGAGGGCCAGGAGAAAAATCCACACGAACACGGGGAGAACATGCAGACTCCAAATATACAGTTGTCAGGATCAAGATCGAACCCACGACCTCCTGTGTACCATGCGAGGTAGTTAACATCTCTTAGCCACCGTGGCAACCCTCATGGTCACAGACAGGGCACGGCTTCCTTCCATCACCGTGTGTCTCCCCCGTGCCGTCGCCCAGGTTTACAGAGAAGGGAAACCTGGAGGTCCTGCTGTTCACCATCCAGAGCAGGATGCGCGCCAACAACCAGAAGGTTTTCTTGCCGGGAGAGGGCAAGCTCATCTCCGAGATCAACAAGGTGAACGAGCGTAGTGCACGTGGAGTTCTGATGGTAATATCCCGTTCGCTTTTACAGAGTCAGAATATTTATTTGCACACGAGGAATCCGGTGAGCTACCGAGCCCTTTTTCACCAATGTCAAGGTAGTTTACGAGTCAAGCCAACGCCTGACTGGATTTCCCCACGCAGCATCAACAACAATCCATCAATCCAAGATTTGTAATGGGCGGCCGTGTTCAGCAACAAGCTGAGACGGAAGCGTGGGTGGCACAGAAAATAATGAAACTCAACAGAAGAGACGAGTGCGGCTTTTAGGCTGATCTTAAAAGCGCCGCTCGTCACGGCTGCGCTACTTTCGTTGGGCGGCTGTCTCGCGCCGATGAGTGCGGTTGGCTACGTACGGTTGCGCGAGAAGTTCAACGTCCACTCCACACACCGGGGCTGCGGCGGACGGACAACCCCGCTCTGCTGTCCTAAGCTGAGGGCGGATCTCGCAAACGGCGGACGTGCGCAGGTCATCGACGCGAACCCACACTGCGAAATATTCCTCTCACTGCCACCGATCCTACAAAGGAACTGTGCAGTCTCCTACTCGTATCATCCACTCGGTGTCTCTGCCCTCTGTATGCCAACACGATGAAGGGCCATATCCCGAAACGTTGCCCTACATGTAATTATATTTTAAGGCCGCAGTGTTATTGCCGAACGTGTTGTGTTATTGTTAACCGTGCACCACTGCCAACTCGGCATCGCCAAATCATTTGTTTAACCTTCCAAACAAACGGTTCTAAAATTTGTCAGGTAATTTCCTGGGCCCCTGGTCCTTCTTCAGAGGGGATCATCTTCGCAGTGGAAGGGCCTTTGTCTGAAATGTTTGCACTATACGTGTGTCCGTCATAGGGCAGTGGCGTTAATTCAACCCATGGTGAAGTGTTTTGATTTTGTACGCCCGCACGCACACACTTCCGCTAATGCAGTGCTTAAAAGGGGGTTTGTATTTACTTCGGCTCATTCCCAGCTCCGGCAGATAACATATCAGTGGGACACGTATAGGCTTGTCAAACAAGCTTGCAAGCACAAGAGAAGCAGGAAATTGCCAGCCACAAGCTTCAGTCTCCTTCGAGTTGAACGTGTTTTGTCTGCAGCTGCTCCGCACTTTGTCCATGGACCCTGGCAGAAACTGTTGCCACGTAAGGTAGCACCGATTTATTTGCATGGCCATTTAGAGTGGATTACCTGATAAACCCACGCATTTAAGATGGTGATTATCGCGTAACTCACTCTTGTTGGCCACATGAGGCAATTTGAACCGCTTAAATAATGCCACCTTGTGGTATCTGCTGTGGGCTCATTAACAGCAGCTATGCAGCCTTCATCAGGGCACAATTCTTGGGTTCCTACACTATACACAGCTGTATGTATGTATGTTGAACTTCTTTGACACCGTACGTAGCCAACCGTGCTAATTGGAGGCGCGGGGGCAAGGACAACAAACTAAACACCTCCCTCGCCGTTAACATAAATGTGCTAGAACAACATGCTCAAGTCAGGCGCCCTGTGTGTGTGTGTGCTCTCACGTTCAAGTCAGGCGCCCTGTGTGTGTGTGTGATCGCACGTTCAAGTCAGGCGCCCTGTGTGTGTGTGTGATCGCACGTTCAAGTCAGGCGCCCTGTGTGTGTGTGTGCTCTCACGTTCAAGTCAGGCGCCCTGTGTGTGTGTGCTCTCACGTTCAAGTCAGGCGCCCTGTGTGTGTGTGTGCTCTCACGTTCAAGTCAGGCGCCCTGTGTGTGTGTGTGTGTGCTCTCACGTTCAAGTCAGGCGCCCTGTGTGTGTGTGCTCTCACGTTCAAGTCAGGCGCCCTGTGTGTGTGTGTGCTCTCACGTTCAAGTCAGGCGCCCTGTGTGTGTGTGTGCTCTCACGTTCAAGTCAGGCGCCCTGTGTGTGTGTGTGTGATCGCACGTTCAAGTCAGGCGCCCTGTGTGTGTGTGTGCTCTCACGTTCAAGTCAGGCGCCCTGTGTGTGTGTGTGTGTGCTCTCACGTTCAAGTCAGGCGCCCTGTGTGTGTGTGTGCTCTCACGTTCAAGTCAGGCGCCCTGTGTGTGTGCACGCATGCTTGAGACGGGCGCCTTGTGTGTGTGCCCACACGCTGCTTGCAGGCGTGGGAGCGGCTGGAGAAGGCGGAACACGAGCGCGAGCTGGCGCTGCGGGAGGAACTCATCCGCCAGGAGAAGCTGGAGCAGCTGGCGCGCCGCTTCGACCGCAAGGCGGCGATGCGTGAGAGCTGGCTCACCGAGAACCAGTGTCTTGTGCTGCAGGTGAGCGGCGCGTTCACTCACAGGGGGGGCTCCACTGTGCTCTCACCGAGAGCCGGTGGGAGAGTCAGCGTCTCACTCGCCGCGAGCCAGTCTGAGAGTCAGTGTCTCACTCACGGAGAGCCGGTGGGATAGTCAGTGTCTTAATCAATGAGAGCCAGTGTGAGAGCCAGTGTCTCACTCACCGAGAGCCAGTGTGAGGGCCAGTGTCTTAATCAATGAGAGCCAGTGTGAGAGCCAGTCTGAGAGTCAGTGTCTCACTCACGGAGAGCCGGTGGGAGAGTCAGTGTCTCACTCGCCGCGAGCCAGTCTGAGAGCCAGCGTAAGAGCCAGCGTCTCACTTGCTGAGAGCCAGTGTGAGAGCCAGTGTCTTAATCAATGAGAGCCAGTGTGAGAGCCAGTGTCTCACTCACCGAGAGCCAGTGTGAGGGCCAGTGTCTTAATCAATGAGAGCCAGTGTGAGAGCCAGTCTGAGAGTCAGTGTCTCACTCACGGAGAGCCGGTGGGAGAGTCAGTGTCTCACTCGCCGCGAGCCAGTCTGAGAGCCAGCGTAAGAGCCAGCGTCTCACTTGCTGAGAGCCAGTGTGAGAGCCAGTGTCTTAATCAATGAGAGCCAGTGTGAGAGCCAGTGCCTCACTCGCTGAGAGCCAGTGTGAGAGCCAGCGTCTAACTCACAGGGCTCACTGCTAAACTGGGCTAAGAACGACACTGAGCCACTCACAGTGCACAACAATGGAAGGCTCTCCCATTTAAACAGCAGAGAGGAGCACAAGACAAAGAGCCCTCCTATAGCCTTATCAGGCTGTAGAGACAAGTGCTTCTAACGAGCACCTATGAAGGCCGGCACGACATACGAGAGGGGGTGGGTGGCCAGCACCACGCCCGGCCCGCCTTCACCTCCCTAGTGCCGGAGTTTATTGCACATCGCACCAGGTACTCATTTGAGGCTGAGTCGACCTAGGCGATTCCCAGGACCGTTACGGTGGTTCTCTGCAACGCCACGGGCCAAGACGCACGCGTTCCGTTTGGCCCTGAGCGCCGCTGCGGTGGCCCTGAGCGTGCATGCGCTCCTCGTGCTGACGACGCTCACGCTGACGACGCTCACGCTGACGACGGAGAGCTGCCGTTGCAGGACAACTTTGGGAGCGACCTGGCGGCCGTGGAGGCGGCGACCAAGAAGCACGAGGCGATCGAGACCGACATGGCCGCCTACGAAGAGCGTGTGCACGCCGTGCTGCACGTGGCCCAGGTAGCCGCAGGCTCCCACACGACCCGCTAGGCCGCCCGGCGGCGGTCCCATTGTTTAAGCGCTTGCAAGGCTTTACAGCATTCTCATAGGCACATGCAGGTCACAGGGTTTGTTTGTTTTATTTTTATTTTTGCTTCCGGCCTGTTTAAAGTAGTAATAATTATCGTAATCCCTATTTGATGAAGTGCCTTTCATATGTATGTATGTTTGTTGAAGTTCTTTCGCACCGTACGTAGCCAACCGTGCCAAGGTCTCAAGGCGCTGCACATGTCTCGCTTTTAAACGATGACATCCAATCTATATACAGTAAGAGCTGATGAGGATGACAATAATGACACCTCCACTTGCGCTTTCGATAGAATGCAGACAATTATATGATGAAAGACAAAAGTTATAATTACACTCACAGTACAGGTAACGTCCAATCAGAGCAAAGGAAAAGCAAATGAATATCAGTGGGTGTTTCAGGCTTGGGTTTATAGGTGCTCACAGAGTCACAATTGCTGACGTTGGGGGGCAGGATAGCAGCGTCCCTCCACGGGCTTGGCCGCACAGCAGCAGGATGCATGCTCGCCGCTTGGAGGCTGGCACAGAGACGAGTGGCCCCGAGTCCACGAAGTGTGAATTGCGACGGGGAGTGTAGCTTAATGGCCCATTGTGGGTCGACGGTACAGATAGACGTATAATACACAATGTGAGAAGAAAGGTGGATGCCTGCTGGGTAAAAAGCTGCAATGAGATTCAATGGAGGCCTGAAATATTGGAGAAAATAGAAGGGAAAAGGGAACATTTACAAATGATAAAATCACAACTATCACAACTATCAGCTTGCATGAATCACTAACCAGCGAACCGATAGACTTCCGACACTTCTGTGTATTGCCTCGTAACGAAGGCTGATGTCAATGACGGTTTCCAGGTATTGTGACCGTCAGCATCTCTCAGGTCCTTTCCACGTGGCCCACATCTCCTGCCCAGCTGACCCATCTCTCCCCCCTCTTCTCTGACATTTACTCCCACGCAATCATCACGGTTACGTCAGCTGACCTCCGTGTGACATGCCCCGCTTGTTCCATATACCTGCTGAACAGACTTCCCGCAGCTCCTGCTTTAAGCCGCTCTCCCCAGCGCCTCTTCATTCCTCCTCCTCAGTGCTCCTGTAGCACCACGTCTCAAACGCGTTTGTGACTCCAACTCTGGCCTTGCGGGTTGAGGCAGCGCGTTTGTGAACATTTCTCCTCCTAACCTCACACCGCACAGCCGGTGGTGCGTGGCGAAAGCCTGAGAGGACATATGTTCAGCCCGGAAACGCGGCCACACTTGGATTACGAATGGTTGTGAGAACCTGGGTGCTAACAACAATAATATATTGTTGAGATTTATAAGACTTCTTTAAACAATGGATCTCTTAGCGCCGTGTATGTAAAGGAGGAAGATATGAGTGAGAAGTAACCGGGGGAGAGAAAGACTAAAGAGACAGAGAGAGAGAGCTAGAGAGACAGAGCAGGCCGGGTTAAACAGCTGGTGGAGCCTTCAGCTGGAACTTGAAGGTTTCCAACGACTGCGAATTTCTGACCTCCAGAGGTAGGGAATCCCAGAGCCTTGGTGCTGTACGGACAACTATTTATCTCACTATTTAACAATTTTTATTTATTTTAGCAGGTAATGCCCACTGAGCTATATAGCTCTTTTTCAGAAGCCACCTAGCCACGAATGATAGCTCAACAAAGCGGCTTATCACGCAGACATTTATAGTAGCGAAATACTTTAAACGCACGTTGATTCTAAATATGGACGGAAAAGCCGGAGGACCCGGAGAAAAATCCACGCCACCACGGGGAGAGAGACACGGAAGCTCCAAATATACGGCACGCGTCAGGGTCGGAATAAAACCCACGTCCTCCTCTCGCCGCCCGTGGCGCCCCCAACATCCCGGCGGTCTCCCCAGCGGCGAGGCCTGGCGAGCGGCACGTTGAAGCGCGACAGTCGGCGCTGCTGCACGAGAGTGACCCGCGGCTTGGGGTGGTGGGGCGGGATCCGTGCGGCGTTTTTTTTGCACAGGAGCTGCAGGCCGAGAACTATCACGACGTGGCGCGCGTGGCGGCCCGTCGGGACAACGTCCTGCGGCTGTGGCGCTACCTGCAGGAGCTGCTGTGCGGGCGGCGTGCCCGCCTCGAGGCCAACGTGGCCCTGCAGAGAACGCTGCACGAGATGCTGCACCTGCTGCACAGCATGGAGGAGCTCAAGGTGAGGTCCCCACGACCCGACGGTTCCAGCATTTCGGATTCTAGGGGCGCCTCGGGCCTTGCTCCACAGATGCTCCACAGCTCAGGCCGGTTTTGCCAATGTGTGTGTGTTGAACTTCTTTAGCACCATACCTAGCCAACCGTGCTAATCGGAGGTGCAGGGCTAGGACAACGCACTACGGATCTGTGCGAGACCATGGGTCTCTGTGTGAGTCCGTGGGTCTCTGTGTGAGTCCATGGGAATCTGTGTGAGTGTATTCGTCTGTGTGAGTCTTTCTGTGCACATTAAACTTCTTTTGCACCGTACGTAGCCTACCGTGCTCATCGGAGGTGCCAAAGGCCTTGCCAGGATGATTTAAGTGGAGAAAAAAAGCCGGGCTGCCAACTTGAATATTTTAGGAATATCTTTTGTAGGTGAAAGCGCTCTGGGACGGATTGAAGGTGCTCTTGCGAATGAGACTCTCTCCTGGTTAATCCAAAAATAAATCAACTTGGAGCATTTTTGGCCATCATTCCCCCGACACTTGTTCATATGAGCATCATTCACACTCCGTATAGAGCCGATTCGGCCGCCTACCATTGGATCGTGCGAACGAGCGCGACCATGATCAGGATGTGAAATGATCAATCGTGAGTTCCAAAAAGACTAATGCTTTAAAACATATACATATGTAAACGTTCAAGCAATTGCTTCATTGCGATTAAAAATAAGAATAGGTTTTACCCAGTAAAACAATAGGTGTTAAGATTTTCAAACATCAAATAGATACATATATCAAGGCATCAAGTCTGAATTAACCACGCATACATGTGGAAAACATGCAAACAAACTGTAATAATATATGCATTGTGTTTTCAACTGATTGGCCTACACCAGAAACAGCCTTCTTTATGGGCTAGTCCCACCAATGTCAGGCCCGAGAACGCCGAGAGGCAAAGAATACAAAGACGATGCAAGTATCAGAGACACCGAGTATAGCTTGACTCTCGCAGCTATATAATGGGGTACCGTTTTATCAGTATCCAAAATAATAATGAAAAATAAGAATATATTTTACTCTTTCTGGCAATAAAACAGGAGGTGTTAAGATGTTCTAAACCAAATAGAAACCTTTTGCAAGGCATCGAGTCTGCACTTGCCACACACAGCACTTGTTGCAAAACGCACACAAAACGTGCTCTGATAGTGTCCGCATTGCCTGTCAAACTGATTGGCCTTCACCAGAGACATTGCATTCGTCAAGCGCGCACACGCGCCGCCTTGCTGTGTGCTGGGAAGGGGCTGACGCGCGTGCTGGCGCGGCGCAGGGGCGGCTGCTGTCGCAGGACTTTGGGAAGCACCTGCTGGGCGTGGACGACCTCCTGCAGAAGCACGCGCTGCTGGAGGCCGACGCGGCCGTGCTGGCCACGCGGGTCCACAACGTCACGGCCGCCGCTCGCAAGTTTGCCGAGAACAGCGACGGTGAGGACCGCGCGCCCCGTCCCGCCCTCCACGTTGCACTCGCTCTCCGCCATTGCGGCCCTTTGTAAGGTCACGCTCACCGCACGCTAAGTGCTTGCCACGATGCCTCGCTGATCTCGACAAGGGGCATAAAGCATCACGCGGGGTCCGGCCATCCTCGCAGCAGCGGTGGCTTTTGGCTGCTAGCCGTCGAACAAAGACGGTGGTCACCGCTTCGCTCGCTTTCAGATGCGCTTTTGCGTCCATCTGGAACGCTCTTCCTTTCCGATATTAGGAAGCCACTGGGGCTATGCACTTTTCAATTATCTAGATTGAAAACTCATTTCTTTATAACTGCTTTCTCTGTTTAGTTTGTTGTCCTTCTCCCCGCACCTCCGATAAAGCACGGCTGGCTACGTATGGTGCGAAAGAAATTAAACTAACACACTCTGATTGTGCATTGTCTTTGAGCTGTACGCCTTTTGGCGTCCTCTGGTCTAACACCGTTTGAGACGAGGCTCAAAAGAAAGCTGTCTCTGGTGTGGACCAATCAGTTTCAAAGACAATGCATATCTTATCAGAGTATGTTTTTTGTTTGCATTCTGACCACAAGCATTGTGGTTAATGCTTTAACGTGATTCCTTGTAAAAAGGTTTCAGTTTTGTTGCCAGAAAAAAGGGGAAAAACCTATTTTGATACGTAATAGACTTTTTTTTTGTTCACGCAAACATTACAAACGCATGAATCCCCCAACGACTGTTTTACGTCGTGAATCTCCTGCGTGCGCTTGCCGTGCAGGTTACCAGGCGTGCGACCCGCAGGTGGTGAGCGCGCGGGTGGCAATGCTGGAGGGCTGCCTGGACGAGCTGCTGCGGATGGCGGCCGAGCGGCGCGCCGGCCTGCTCGAGTCTCGCCGCCTGTGGAAGCTCGTCGGCGAAATCTCCGAGGAGGAGGCGTGGATCCGGGAGAAGGAGCGCATCCTGTCGTCGGACGACTTTGGCCGCGACCTCACCAGCATCGTCCGCCTGCTGAGCAAGCAGCGCGCCCTCGAGGACGAGCTGCAGCACCGCGAGCAGCGGGTGCGGCAGGCCGTCGCCGACGGCCGGGGCATGGTCGAGGAGAGGCACTTCGCCGCGGACAAGATCGCCGAGAGAGCCGGCAACCTCCTGTCGCTCTGGTCCGAGCTGGGGCGGGCGGCCGCCCTGCGCAAGCTGCGCCTGGAGCAGGCCGCGAGCCTCTTCCAGTTCCTGGCCGACGCGGACGACGCGGACGCGTGGACCATGGATCACTTCCGCCTCGTCTCCAGCGGCGACATCGGCCACGACGAGTTCTCCACGCAGGCCCTGGCCAAGAAGCACCGGGACATCGTCGAGGAGATCGGCAACTACGCGTCCGCGATCCGGGGCCTGCAGGAGCAGGCCGACGCTCTGCCCGACGAGGTGGCCCGCTGCGGCGGGGTCAGCGACAGGATGAGCAACACCAAGCAGCAGTATGGCGACCTGCTGCAGCTCGCTGCCCAGCGCAAGCAGCAGCTGGACGACGCCCTCGCGCTGTTCAAGCTCTTCAGCGAGGCCGACGCGTGCGAGCTGTGGATCGACGAAAAGCAGAAGTGGCTCGACCAGCTGGAGATACCGGAAAAGCTGGAGGACCTCGAGGTCGTTCAGCACAGGTAGAGTGCACGCTGCCCACGTGAGGCTCGCCTGTGGTTGGCTACGTACGGTGCAAAGTAAGGTCGACGTATATGCATACATTTGGTCGTGCTCTTTCCCTTGGGCAGGTTTGAGCCAAATGTAGCACAGTCACCAGTGGTGGAGACGTCACGATGTACGTGGGTACATCACCGACACTTCTCAGAATGTATAAACCAAAAAAGGCGCCACACTGGTGGGATGTTAACTTCTTCGCTTGGTATACAGGAGGTCCTTGGTGCAATCCCAAGCCTGACTACCGCTGTATATTTGGAGTTTGTATGTTCTCCCCGTGGTCGAGTGGGTTTCTCTCCGAGTCCTCTGGTATTTCCCTCCACATTTAGAATCAACGTGCGTTTAGAGTATTTGGCTGCTATAAATGTCCACGTGATTAGCCACTTCGTTGAGCTATCATTTGTGTGGCCAGGTCACTTCTAAAAAGAGCTACATAGCCCAGTGGGGCCTTACCTGGTTAAATAAAAAATATTTGTAATAGTTTTAAAGCCACGCGAGTGAACTTGGGCTGCCGGAGGATCGGTCGGTACCGCTACGTTCCCATCTCGGCCATCCTCGTCCGTCACTGCGTTGCCGCCGTTCATGGTCATCTTTGATCGCTTCACCCCACTGCGGTACCGTTATTAAACATCCATTAGTTTACGGCCTTTATTAATCCGCTACTGGATGAAGGCCTTCTTCCCGTGTCTTTCGGTCATGGGGATTGTTTAACCATACTTTACCGTTATGGTCGGTGCAGGGTAGCAAACGTTGGCCAGGACCGGTTTAGATATCACCGATGTTGGCTGTTCATGGGGATAAACTCAGTTCGTCAAGTTCACAGGGCAGTGCACTATGTGTGTACATTGAACTTTTTTCCCATGACTGTGATCCGCCGTCAATCTTAATCTTTAATCCGTGGACGTTTCAGTCCGTCGTGTGCCCGTGTCGGCAAAGTGTGGGACACTCTCCTTTCTGTTTTCCACAGGTTTGAGGGCCTTGAGCCTGAGATGAGTGCCCAGGATTCTCGGATCAGGGTGGTGAATGGAGTGGCCGAGCATCTGATCAGGGACGGACATCCGAGCGAGACGGCGATCCACGCTAAGAGAGACAACCTCAACAGCAGGTGGACGGCCGCCCCCCTCCCCCCCTCCCCCCCTCCCAAGAGGCATTGTGTCTACAGCGCCACAGTGGCTAGGAGATGTTAACGACCTCGCCTGTTATACAAGAGGTCGTGGGTTCGATTCCGATCCTGACCGCCTGCTGTATATTTGGAGTTTGCGTCTCTCTCTCTCTCTCTCTGCCCGTGGTCGCGTGGATGTTTTCTCCGGGTCCTCTGGTTTTTCCCTCCACGTTTAGAATTAACGTGCATTTTAAGTATTTGGCTGCTATAAATTTCCACAAGATAAGCCACTTCGTTGAGCTGTCATTTGTGATAGCCAGGTCGCTTCTGAAAAATAGCTGAATAGCTCAGTGGGCCTTACCTGGCAAAATAAATTTTCCATCATTTTTTACATTTCATGTCCACCGGCCACGTGGTGTAGCAGCAGTAGATTGTTTATGAATACATTCATGCAGTTGCAAAGGAGTTATATGGGACCTTTTTGCGAGTTTCTAAAATGATGAAAAAAAAGGATAGGTTTTACCCTATCTGCCAATAAAACAGAATTTTGCATCCTGGCAAAAAGGTATCCCGTAGATATAACTGCTCGACCCGAGCTTTACGTGTCTCTGATACTTGCATTGACTTGATGCCTTGCAAATAGCTTATCTATTTGGTGTTTGACCATCTTAACACAACTGCAGTTTTATTGCCAGAAAGGGTAAAACCTATTATTATCTTTCATCGATTATATGTCCTGTTCGCTAAAGCACGTGCGTACTTTTTCAAGTTCATGCCACTGACCGTTAACACTCTAAACTTAAGCCACTGCCCACGTGGCCGCTTGGCGATCGGGAGGTTTTGCGATTTCACATCTTGGTTGGGAGTTGACATCATTCGTCCGGGGGATCGATACCCGTGAGGACATCAACAATAGTGGGTGTTGTCCTACTTTTATGCTCACCCCCTTTGCCATTGAAATATGGACTTTCCGGCACTGACTCTGCACGGCTGTAAACAACGGATGGGCACAAATCCTTCAGTACTCGTTTGAACGGGAAATCACTTCGACCTTTGACTCTTTTGTCCCGCAGGTGGGATGTCTTCCGAAAGCACGTGGCCCAGAAGAAGGAGGCCCTCCTGTCGGCGCTGAGCATACAGAACTACCACCTGGAGTGCAGAGAAACCAACTCGTGGATCCAAGACAAAATCAAGCTGGTCGCGTCGACGCAGGACCTCGGCAACGACCTGGCGGGAGTGATGGCGCTGCAGCGGAAGCTGTTCGGCATCGAACGCGACCTGGCCGCCATCGGGGGCAAGCTGCAGGAGCTGCGCGGGGAAGCCGGGGCGCTCGCCTCGCGGCACCCCGAGCAGGCGCCGGCCATCCTCGGCCAGCTGGAGGCGGTGGACGGGGTGTGGGGCGACCTCGCGGGGACGCTGCAGCGTCGCGAAGAGTCGCTCGGCGAAGCTCGCAAGCTGCAGAACTTCCTGCGTGACGTCGACTCCTTCCAGGGCTGGCTGTCCGGCGCCCGGATGGCCGTGGCCTCGGAGGAGCTGCCCAGCAGCCTGCCCGCCGCCGAGACCCTGCTGGTGCAGCACGGGGCCATTAAAACCGACGCCGACAACCACCAGGACGACTACCAGAAGATCCGCGGCGTCGGCGATGACGTGACCCGAGGGGAAACGGACGCGCAGCACGTGTTACTCCAGCAGCGGCTGCAGGCTCTGGACGGCGGGTGGAAGGATTTGCACCGCATGTGGGACAATCGGCGCGATGTCCTTGCCCAGGCGCACGGCTACCAAACCTTCCTGCGAGACGCCAGCCAGGCCGACAGCTTCCTCACCAACCAGGTGCGTGGCGCCGCTGCTGCTGCTGCTCCTGGAGCTGCTGCTGGTGCTCCTGGAGCTGCTGCTGCTGCTGGTGCTGCTGGTGCTGCTGCTGGTGCTGCTGCTGCTGGTGCTGGTGCTGCTGCTGCTGGTGCTGCTGCTGGTGCTGCTGCTGGTGCTGCTGG